GCTCGGTAGATAAGCCTTCTAAATTCAAAGAATTTGATAGTGTGTACTGTTATGTTCCCCCAAATCCACATAGTTTATGAACCTTTCTAACTGTTATGAGTTATGATTAAAAAGAGCACACGCACGGTACAGATGGTCCTCTGCCTCTTGCATTGTGGCATTGAGGGCTTCAAACATTTTGTTCAAGGCCCTGCACACTCCATACTACGCCCACACACAGGATTTCATTTGTTGTGAATAATTTGAGCTCCTTCCAGGAATGTGTGAGTGCAGAGAGTTCATTTCCTCACCTCCAAAAGATAGAAGAAAAGTGTTCCCTTGTGTTCCTGGCCCCAGTATGATTGAGAAGGCCTGATCTGGTGTAAAGAACCTTAAAGTTATTTATATTGTATATACAGTATAGTACACATTTACAGCTGTGTGTCTCTGTTCCTTGTGTTACATTTGATTCTATAAAGTTGTACTTCCTTTTTTGTCTGACTTTGAATGAAAAAAACCCTGATGGATGTGCACGTTCTGAAATAGCAAATTAAAAAGACTGGAATTAAACTATATTGTTTGACACTGTATGTATACATTTAACTGTCAGACAGCTGCAGCATGGTTGTGGTCTGGTGTTGTGCACGATTGATTTAATACATCAATCTTATTCTTAATTGAGCATGTTGATAAAAAAAAGGATCTGAGCATAATTTCACATGATCAGATTAAAGCTGGTGGACAAATGACTGACAGGAGAGGGGGTAAAGCTTGTGGACCTACCTGCAGCTTTGAAGAAACTGGAAGTATAAGAGTTTAGCCAGTGGCAGACTGCACACAGCAGTGACTGTTTACATCCCGAAAGCTCCCCTTGAAATAAATTATATGAGCATAAAATGATCTGCTGAGGGCTGATCAGTCAGCCAAATGTAGATCTAGAAATGAGGCCACCCTGTTTGTTTTCTTTTCTTGCATGCACAACTTGCTGCTTTCAAGCCGACTCTGAATCTCCTTCACAGACAAGAGTCAAACTGTGATCCCTCCGAGAAATCTTTCTCTAATCACACCAATCAAATGACAGAAAATACTGTAAACACAATAATAGCCCTGAAATACAAGCTAGCATGCCCAATATTCAGACAGGGAGAAACAGGCAGATAAGAGTTAGCATTGCATTAAACTCCCCCCCCCATCCCCCCCACTGCAGAGGTCACAGGTTTCAACAAACGTTCCTGACAGAGAGTCTAATCAGGAAAGGAAGTGGGTTTTATGTGGTTTCCTATCCCTGTCAGTGACCAGCAGCCACTTAAAACAGAAAACGCAAACTGACTCCGAGTAGGCAGCTGACCAGGGGAGCACCAGCAGATGTGAAATCTAAAATATGCACACAGCAGAGAGATTGGCAGACCACAGACCTCTAAACAGACCAAGGATAAAGACGAGTGCCATTATGTTTGAAGACAGGTCGTGTAAACCCTAAGGCCACCTTTAGTCTTATATGTATGTCATGTATAAGGGTATATTCTAAAAGAGAGGCATTGGTTTATAAATAAACAGTACAAGCTTGCAGCATCTGTGTGTGCCTGAGTGTGTGTGTGTGTCACAAAGCCACATCAGACTGAGGTAACATGTAAAGTGAGACTGCAGGAGAGGCAGGAAACACCGGCAGACACTGCTGTGTGCGGGCAGACCTACATCTCCTGTGTTTTTGTGTGTGAACATGCTTGACTGTCACTCTCATCGACAGGATGTGAGCTTGTAGTTTTACCGTTCCTCCTCCTCCTCCTCCTCCTCCTCCTCCTCCTCTATCTGTCCCTCATCTTTCTTCATCTGGGGTGTAATTACATCCTCATGTCCAAACAGGATATAGCGGAGGAGAGACAGTGACCGTCATATTCAGTGCAGGGACATAGAGGCCCATTCTGATGCGTCTATGGTGCATTATTATAGAAGAAATACCATCAGTATGTCGAAAACTCACAATAAACTCATGTCTCTCTCACACACACGCATGCACGCACGCACGCAGCCGAAGGCACGAGATAAAAGCAATGCTTTGTAATGTTAGCTAAGAATTGGCGGGATGCTAAGATAGGCATTTGTTTTTATTGTGTAACTGTTTTTTATTTTTTTTTATTTCTTATTGTGTAACAAACAAACGTCAATCTCCGGTGTTGTAAAATAAAGAAAATGTGCAAGCGCAAAAAACTGCAGTTCCACACGTGTCCACTTGAGGCTTGTGCCCAGAAAAGTCCCATACAAACCCTGACAGCGGACATTAACATGTTTACAGCCTGGTACGAACAACAATTTTGGTCTGAATAGCTCAAGCCATTATCGGGAAACACTGTACGGGTTAGGGGGTCAGATTAGATTTTTTGATTTGAGTTATTCATAATAAAAGGAGCACGGCTGATCTGACTCAAAGACGGGCGCGGCGTAGCTGTTTGTCAGGACCAGCGCTTTGCCTCTTACAAGCTGCCCAAAAGGTAGTCTGAATCAGTGTGGTGACTGCTGCGAATGGAAGATATGAATTCTTATCTAATGCTTATTTCAGACAGCTATTGGCTGACAGCACAACTGATAAATAAGTAGATGTTGGTAAAAGTGATGTTCAGTGGAGTAAAATATGAGAAGTACTTTATCAAGAGAGCAAAGAGACCTACATGTACAGTGAAATATGTACTCATTAGCCTCCCTTGGAGTCTTTTTTTTCCAAATGACATGAGTCATTATTTATGACTCGTGTGAAGAAGTCAAGAAACACATAGCCTAATTAGCACAGCGTAGTGTGCTAATTAGCTGTGTTGTTGCTGTGTGAACCCTCAGACCCCTTGTTATATAATGACAATGACTTCAACGACAGACTTGCAGAAATAAATAAAGGTAACAGAAAAGAAACAGGTCAGCCCTTAAAAGAAAACTCAGAAGTGAAATAATGGCCCAGACTCATGTAAAAAGGCTTAGCCGATATAAACACCAATTAAGTGAGTCTTCACTGAAGAAGAGACACTCGATCATCGACTCTAAAACCGAGAGTGTGATAACATCCTGAGCCAAGCACATAGCTTCTTTATAGCTCGCAGCATTTAGCAGCTGCTCGGAGAAGCATTAGCTGTGGCCCCTGCTGGGAAAAAAGGGAAGTTTAGCAACATTTGAAAGATTTCTTATATTATTTTTTCTTCTAATAAAAAAAAAAAAAATAATAAATCCTCCCCATCCAGCATGCTGAATACTAACTGCATGAGCGCCCCGTTTTCTGTGTGCAGCTGAACGTTAAATCATGCTCAGGGGTTTAAAGCAGCAGGGAAAGATAAGCTGAAGATGAAGATGATACTGTGAATAGAGAAGCTCAGTGGGTAGCTGTAGAACACCCAACACTAGCACAGTGCTGCAGGAAAACCACACAGCAAAACTGTGTTTCTTTAATGTTTATTTGTATAGGAACAAGTATGTAACATGCAAGCCACTGCCACACAATAAGGCATTTAGAGCCTGATAACCCTATAGGCCTACATCAAAAACAACAAATATGTAAGAAATAATACCATCAAGCAGGATTCATACATGACTGAACCCTCTTCTAAAACAGTTTCAGTTGGAGTTTGTAGTTCAGGTTCATCACATATTAATTCCTGAACAGAACAAGTGTGTGCATGTATCTTTCTGCTATAGGATCCTCTCCTGTCCAGCCTTCCTCATATCTCCCTCCATCCCCTCCTCCTCCTCCTCCTCCTCTCTCCAACAGGTTTTAAGCTCTACCATGACATGTGACTGCATTAATCTCTCTCTCCCTCCCTCACCCCCTCCCTCGACTTCCCAGCTGCAGATTTGACACAAAGCTCAGTGATTTGGTGCATCAGTCGATGATGTGATATGCTTAGCTGGAGACAGAAGGAAAAAAATATATATTTATATCACATAACCGAGGCCTTGTAGGGTGGTCATGGAGTTCCTGTCGGCAGCTGCCTGCAAAATCACACATTACAGGAGCTGCTGCCTTCTCTTTGCACAAAACAAAAGTAGAGCACATGGGTTAAGAGACAAGAGGAAAAAAGTTGACGACAGAGCAGAGGGGTTATTGAGTTGTTGTGGGCTGAATCTGACCCGATATCGTCTTTTTTAATGACCTGTATTCTGGAAATCTAGCACCAAACACTGTCACAGGATGGAAACAGCCCCAAGAGATGACTGCACAAAACAATGATTGTTTTTTTTAAAAAAAGGGAACATGCAGCTGTGTGCACTGCAGTAAAAGTCAATATCATAATACTCATGGGCCTCTCAAGTGCATGGGTCATATATACTGTATATCTGTGCCCCCCCCCCACACACACACACTCATCCTGAACAAAGGGCAGAGGCGCAGGAGAAAGTGGGTCAACCTTTCACACTGGAGAGGTGGCAGACGCTCCTCAAACAAACACCCACAGAACTGTCATGCATGCACATGGGTTGAATTTCAGATGACATTCTGGGTCCAGAATCCCTGAGGCATTGTGATGTGTATAGAACAACATGTAGAAAAAAAAACAGAGGAGCGTACTAACACATTTGATGTTGCCAAATACATAAACACATTAATAACCTCAGACATGGAGGTATCAGCAAAAACATTTCTGCTAATTTTGCTGTCCACTTCTCCATTCCTCTCTCTCACACAGACAAATATAAAAAAAACAAAAAAAAAACACACACATTCCTGGCAACTCTTTCATCTCTCAGCGACTGCAGCAGAAGCTCAGTGCCATCACCACAGAAACAGAAGGCCTCACCATAACAACCACTGAATGGAAACTGCAATGAGCCCTGTTTCCTCTTTATATCATCGTCTTTGTTTGTTAGCGCCTTACATGTGAACAAATTAAGCATGCATAAATGATTTAATGCAGCATTTGGATGAAAAGCACACATCTGAGTTAAAGCGGCATCATTGCAAACCAATCACAACAATGACAGCATCGCCGTATACCGAGACAAACATCAACAAGGCAAGAGCATAAAAGAAGAAGATTCTTTACCTGAATCTTCATTTTCCAACAGGAATTCATGTCCGGATCCTTATTCCCCTCACCTCTCTTTCACACACACTCATACACACACACACACATACACCCACCCTCACACAGACAATGGTTCCTCAGGGAGGTTACATGCCCCCTCTGTAAATCCTCGAGGCGAGTGGAGACAGAGAGGAGAGAATAAGAGAGAGAGAGAGAGAGAAAGACGACCGAGCCACTGCAAATACGGAAGTGGAGCTGAGGCAACAATGTCAGCCGTCGCCCTGGCGACTGCAGCTACAGCAGCGCAGCGCAGAAACAAAGACAGACAGAGGAAGAGATAGGGAGAGAGAAGGCAGTGGGAGGGAGAACAAGCGGCTGCCCTACATTTTCTTCACACAGACACACAAACATAGAGCTGCTGCTGCTGCTACTTGTCCGGGCTTGGGCTTGCTCTGGCTCTCAGCTGCTCACACACACACACACACACACACAGACACACACATACACACACATACACAAATAAACACAGAGTCAATCCGGTGCTTTAATCCCATTGGCCGAGCGAGCACTTCCTCCAGCTGATCTTGATGCGACGTGGGGGAGGGGCAAAGTCCTGTTGAATCATTCATGAGAGGGAGGTGTTTTCCTTTAAATAGCCTCCCCCTGCTCTGCACACTGAGCTTAACCTTAAAGCACCTCCCCCTGACCCCGCTTAAGCCTGTCCTGATACTACACACACGCTTATCAACGCACACACACTCACATGCAAACACTCACTCCTTCCTCTAAAGCTCTGTCTGATTTAAAGGCACAAATGTCAAGCAAAAAAAAAAAAACCTGTAATAAAGCACTACCACTGTCCACCTATCAGAGAGGCCATTACTGCAGGCTCCACCAATCCCCAGAAAGCACAGAGGGATATGAGGTGAAGCCGGGATGATAGAGGATGATTTCTAACATCCTCACAGCTGTATTCAAGGGCAAAGCTACAGCCCAGGACAACCTCTCAGATACTGAGTAACACTACAGACCACTGCAGGCTGAGATCTACCAATAAAACACAACGATTAAAGCTCTTAATACAGCCATGAGTCATAAAGAATAACGGTGGCTTGTTTAGAGAAGACATAGGCCAACAAAAGGCAATATGCTACCAATGTTTAAAGAACGGGAACACTGGCTATGAAGGACAAAAGTATACAAACTATCAACAAACGTGATGTTTTAAATGCAGCCTTCAAAATAAGAGTCAAAACAAGTTAGACATTGAAACCTGTAAACATTGCCTGCCCCACCATCAGCAGCCATATTGGATTGAATTCTGGGTTTTTGTGTTGTATTAACACAAACTGTACATTATTGACTCTGTATCACAGTATTGACCTCCTTTGATATTGATTATTAACTGTGATTTCTACATTTGATGGTCCCAACTTATATTATTTAGTGAGGATTTTTGACACGAATCTTGTGTTATGAACGTCTTACAGGTTTCCAGTTCAAAGCTGACAACAGGGGAAAACCAGTGGCACAGTGTAGCATCAGAGCCGGCAGGGCGGAACAGCGCTGTGCGTGTGCATTTCTCAAAAGCCCCTTTTAAAGTGTAGAATTGCAACAGCGCCACAAACGAAGCTCGGCTGTTATTACATCTCTTCACTTTTACATTGATTCAGCAACGTTCTTATAGTGTTGGGAGTCTGTGAATTCACATTGCATTACTGCGTTGATGAAGCATGACGTGTAAACAAACAGCAGGATGTTTGCCGTTTGTTTACAAGCTGTTACTTCTCTACTTAAAGCTGTGATGCAGGGTGAAATACACCATGGGACATCAGTATTAACACCAGCAACGGCATTGTGGTTGCAAAGTGCAAAGGAGTAATGACAGCAGAACTTTGTCAGCACAGTTTCAGAATCTGAGAGCGACTTTAACTTCAAACAAAATAAAATATAAAAATGTTCTACTCTACATTTAAGAAAGTCACCTTTTATCTTTGTTATACTCTTGGATGTTCCTTTTTTGAATGTATTTCATGAAATAAATAGCCTGTGTATATTTCCTCGGCTGGACAGTTACAAAAAGCATTTCATTGTAGCAGCATTGTTATTTGTAACTGTGTGTCTGATCAATCTAATTTGAACTCTGAAAAACTTTCTTTTGTCTTTTCTTTTTGTCTGTGTATTCATGTTTAAATCAAACTCATGAGTTGAGTTGACTTTTCATGCTTTCATGTAATCTGTGGGTTGAACATATGCAATGACCGCTCATCTTTGTGATGAAAAACAAAATGTTGGTTAAAAAAAAAAAAAGATGCATAATTCTTCTTCCCAGATCTGCTTTTTTTCTGTTTTGAAATGTTTCAGTGACAAAAAGGGAGAGTTTCTCAGTCAGAGCCTATCTTCACGCTTGGGGTATGTTCAGGTGTTTTTATTGGATAAAGAGCTGAGCACCTCTTTACTTTCATTGAGTAACACGACTAAGACGGCTTTCACCTCTAAATACAGTCTTACTGCAGGTCCACTGGCCCCACTCGTGGACTTTAGCCTTCTAACACAAATAAGTTTCACATGTTTCACATCAACTTTTTTTTTTTTTTTTTTTTTTACAGCCTTTAAACTAAAGATGCTCCAACCTTTGTTGAAACTAACCAAGTGCATTAACTCAAGTACAGATTTTAGGTACCTGTGCTGTAATGTTTCCTGTTTCCTGGCAATGACATCATTTACTCTGTCTTCTTGTAGACATCTCTTTTATTAGAAAATTCTGATGTATTTGTCAAGAAATTGGGTCTAGAAGACATTCAGGAGATTTAAAACTGGAACTGTAAAGCCCCCTCCTCACCAGTTAACATGGGGGAGCGTCAGTGCAGACCAGGGTCCCTTACAAAAATTCCTAATTTGAAGCATGGTGAATGAGCAAGTGAATAAGGATCAGAGAGTTTCAGTTTTCACATTGAGGATGTTCTAACCTGTTCAGGATGAGCAATGATTGATTGTTGCCCCGACTCTGCTTCAACACAGTTTCAAAGACAATTATCAGTTTGCAAAGGGATAAACCCAAAACCAGACCAAAATAACCTCATGCCCTCTTTAAACTGCAGCTTCGCTCATCTGGACAACTGCCTTAGGTTACTCACGTTCCTCATGTACGGAAGAGGCGTGATTACTTCAAATAAAGCAGAATGTATTTGATCATTTTTATGTCAGGCAACATTACAACTGAGTCTTCAGCCAATGGTTGGTGAGTAAATGTAACTAAAATATTGAGTTTTATCATGCAGAGCTGCATTCAGCAGAAACAATCTTCTCCACTAAGGTTAATCCTCCACAGAATGTTCTGGTCTATTGTCTTGCCATTTACCTTTTTACAATTTCATCCATGAATAAAAAGCATGCGCAGGTACAAACCCCAGCAGTGTGTAGGTGAACAGTGGGAAATAGGACACATGCAAGCAGCACTTAGGTGATGAGGCAACAGCAGGAAATAAGAGGCGAGTAAGCTGCTGATTTTACCGAGTGAGGAGGTTGGTATCACTAGCTCCTGATTCCTTTTAGACGGACATGGTTTCCAAAGGCAGAGATAATGCATCTAATTCACAGCATGTCAACACAATGTCTCCAATCCTGCATCTTTAGCAACACTAAGCTTTCACGTGTTAAGACAAATGGAAATGATTCAGCCATCAGACCTCTTGGGGAGAAAGAGAGAATCAGAGAGAGGGGGATTGTTAAGCTGAGGTGAGAACAGTGTATAACTGCAGATGGAGCAGGTGTAGCTTTCTGGCAGGAGTGCCCGTTCACACAACATAATGAGGTGGTGATCTCACAGCAAGGAGAGTTTGACAGAAAAACTGCAGTGTAATCTGAGGGAAAAGGTAGGATATAATGAACAGAGGTTGAACTGATTAGATGATGAACTGTCAGAAATATCACTGGTACACTATAATGTGAAATTAATAAAAGTCTGATGGAGGTGAAGGCACAAGAGCGGGGACATTCAAAGTCTGAGACCTAAGAGAGGAGGAGATGAAATATTGGAGGGTTTGGTGAAGCAGTAAAAGAGAGAAATTTAAGGTAAAGTGTGAGAGAACAAAAAAGAAATAAGGAAGACAGAAGCGCTTTCTACTGATGGAGAAACATGTCAGAAGTCCCACCGGGCATGAAATTGAGCCGTAATAGCCTTTTTTCCTAGTTCATATTCAAATACTGTCATGCATACTGATAACTACAACACTAAAGCTTGTCTGCCTGCTGCACTTTTCAATCAAATCTACCTTAAATTAAAGAGAAAGAGACAAGGGGAGTGAGACGGAAACGAGGAGATGATGCATGAAAAAAAAACTCTCAAACTCTTCAGAAATAATTTAAGTTTTTTTTCCTGGTTTAATATTCTGTAAAATGTTGAGTAACTTGCACAGGGATCCTTTGCTTCTTATCTGCTGTAACAGTATGCAATGCTTTGATCTGCAGCTTTGCTGTACATTTGCATATCTGTGTGTAATGCAGCGGAGGACGGCTTGTGAGTACATGGGACATAATCTGCACACCAAAATACACACGCACGTGCATTAAGTGGGCCGTCACTGCTGCGGCAAGATGGCCACAAAGACATCCATTCACCGTCCTAAAATATCAACAAGTCAACTGTAGCAGATTTATTGATTCACAGCTCTCCCCACTTACCACTGTCCCACTGCCCTCTCTCTATCTCACCTTTTTTTTTTCAATTCTGACACCCGATGGAGCTCATCTATCTCAACCTGTGAAAGCCAATAGAGATTTGTGGTAAGGGGCTTCTGCTGTGAGCGCACGTGAGTGTCAGTCAGGCAGTGGAGTGTAACAACAGGGCACACTTTTAAGTGACCTCCTTCTGCCAAGGCAACACTTTCTAAAATGATTTTGACAGGACTGCAAGGCTGTCAACAGGATTGTGGAGTGTGCTGTGTATCCACCAAAATCCTGTTCATCTCACAAAATCCACTATAGGGTATTCACACCTGTTGGAAGATGATGCTCATGCACACAAAAGGTAAACATGTAGGAATCTTAGCAAGTAGCAATGCCAAGCAGCGCACATTTAAAAATTATTCCAGAAAAATAAACAAATTAATTCATCATACCCTATTCTTACAATAACAGCTCATTTTAAAGTCCTCAGGGCCAGAGGTGTTCCAAAGGCTATGCATGAAGTGCATTCATGTACAAAGATCAAACTGCAGGTTTGTGTGTAGGACCAGTAATGATGTCGAGGTTACAAGTGGTGTAAAATATTGTGTGTTTTATTTGTGAGGCGAATGTTAAAAATGTCTGCTGTGCAAGTAAAGTCAAAGCAACAAAAAACAACCCATCAACAGTTTAGCAAGTAAATCCCTGTGTATGACCGCAAGCACTGCATCTCTGCAAGTCCAGAAAAGGGAATTCTTTCAGTTGCTGATGTTTCGTCCTTTTTCCAGTGAAAGGATTTATCAATCGATCAATCAATCAATTTTTATTTGTATAGCGTCAACTCATTTATGGGTGTTTCCTTATCTGAGAATATGACCTCTATTCCAAAGAAAGTGAGTGAGAGGA